CAACATTGCTAAAGCAAAGAAGAACTCAGCTAGCATGCTAGCTTTCGTGATAATTCTTTTGATATATATTTCAGCCCTCATTCCTAGCGTTCGAAGATGAGCTGGAGGGACACAACACGGTCTCCACCCGGCCCCTGGGTGGCCGATAGTGATAAAGCAACGCTGCCAGCCGCGCCCAAGCCGAGGCCAGCTCCGCGCGGCCGCCCGCCAGCTGCGAGAACAGCAGGTCGCACAGGGCGTCGGTGCTGGGTGGGGATTCCAGGAGACAGATCGCCTTGAAATGGCAAGCAGGACTGGTGAAATGGTGGACCGGGGGAAACATCCAGTCGTTTCTCTGGTCGTTGGGTCACATGGACCAGTCAACAACTGGATTTCGGAATGTGAAGGTCTTTGATGTTGATTGGCATGTTCTTTTCCAGAAGCCCCACAGCCATCACGAGACTCAAAATGTTGAGCGAAAACACACCAGGGCAAATGAGAACACACCATGTGAGCGAACCGTCTGAAACTGTGCGAACCTCTTATACCCTGTCCATCTTTAGTTCTCCAGCCGTACCCCCCGCCAGCATTACCTTCAAAACACAATGAAAACAAAGGTTCAGCCACTGACTGGGAACAGCTGCATGCAACCCACAACACGGTGGTTAATGGATACCCCTTGGGTGCAAGAGTAAAGGTCTAGTCCCTCTCTATGGCAGATTCCAGCAGTACATCAGTACATCTCGTACTCGGCTCGCTCTACAGCTTTAGGACTAGAGCCAACGAATGGGTTTAAGTGAACATCTGTAGGAAACCCTTGCTTGCAACCCCAAAACTATGGCTTTCCTGTAGATCTTCCCGCAAAAACCCGGTCCTCATACAAACTTCCGGCATTGGACGTCCTTCGAGCGTCGCGACAGGTGTTCTTTTTCCGGGTGGTCTCGGTCTACACCCGAGGAAGCCAAGATTGAAATGGATCCATTCCTCCGGCCACTTGGACGAGACATCCGGACGACAGATGTTGACTACCAGATATCCGGACGTCCTGGGCGACTTGGTGCCATATCTGCACACCCAGACGTCGCCCAGTGTCCTTGGATCTTTGGGTCTTTCGGTCTTTAGCCCTCTGGTCCCCGGTATGGTCCCTTCGGACCACTGCAGACTCCGGGCGAGGGTGGGCGACTCTGCGAGTCAATCCTGGAGTTGCGGGGGTTGAAGCAACATGAGTTGGTCCAGCACCCGACCTGAAAGTATTGCTAAGCGTTGCGCTTCCCTAGGCCTCCAGTCGTACCGAACCTCAGAAGGTGGGACTGGGGTGGGTGCCATGTTCGGGTCCAGTCATACCTTCTGAGGAGGTACTTGGAGGTGTAGGGCTTATCATATGGTGTCACAAATCACGGGGTTCTCTGACTCCTATTGGCACTGACCAGCTGGGAGCTGGGAAAACAAAACAGCTCTAGTTGCAAATGGTAAGGCGCTGCTTCTGGACGATCCTCCACCTGATCAAAGGGCACAAAACACGGAGCCCCAACCGGCCAGGCGAATGGTGCGCCTGGATCGTGAGCTTTGGCTTTTCTATGTCTGGCCACGGGTGGGATCGATCCGCATGACCAAGTACAAGAAGCTACTAGGAACAAGTGCATCGCTTCTAGTAACTAAGTGCCTTACTAGTAGTAACAAGGTTCGCTACGAACGGGGCTCCTGTGCCTATTCCAACAGTGCGGATGTCGTGTGCCACCATGAAGCGTCTTTGGTGCGGTGGACGGCCTCCACCGGTGGGGCACTGCAGCGGGGCACTGCCCCGTGCCTTCGAACAACACCATCCCCAAACACTCCGTGGGATTGCCATAGGACCGCCGATGACCCCCAACCACCCCAATGTATATACCCTGGAAGTCCAAGGACTATATTTTGACCGGCTGAAGTAAAGGAAGTTCCCTTTCAGGTCCCCTAAAGACCATTCTTTTTATAGTCTTTGACTCCCAGGGTATATATATGTAAATATACAATATATGGAGTGTCTGGCACCTCTTTTTGTACTGGCTCACCTTCATGAGCAGTTGTTTGGGACCCCACGCTACAAAACATGCTCTCCCTCGAGCTTTCTTGATCTTCACCCTTTTCCCTCTCATGATAGGCCATACAACCATATAAGAACACCTTTCAGGGCTGCTAACTTGGTGGGGGCCCTATATCAATATATCTATATAGTGCTGGTCAAGCTCAGTTTCAATTTCTGGTGAGAAGGGTTGTGCCATATCTTTCTGGGGTCTATATGGTACTTGGCGGCACCATCTATCAGAATCTATCATCACATGTTTATGTATATATTATGTTCATTCACGATGTGCAATCATTGGAGGCAGGACCAGGCCTTGACGATCTAAGGTACTGGGAACTCCCCCGTGTCACGCTGGAAAAAGAATAGGGGCCAAATGTACTCAAAAAAAAGGTTTCAGAGGTTCGATGGCATTGGCACCCAAAGATGTCTTGAACATATGGGCTCCCTGATTCTTCCACCAAACTGCGCTCCGCAAGCGTGCCATCGAACCTCTGAAACCACCATCTTAGCCTTCCAAAAATGCCCCAAGAATTGGAAGCGAGCGATTTCGCACACCGAACCTCACGCCATTTCGCACGTGGCGCCAGAGCAGGATGGAGCGGGACATCCCAGAAATCAGTCCCAGACGCGACCCAAACGGAACTGCCGAGAAACCGCCAGAGGTGGTGGTGGAAGTCGGGGGTCTTTCTGGGGCGGCAGTCCTATTCCATTCGCAAACAGGTCGTGTAAGGGAGTGATCTTGATGGCATCCCAAGCTACAGGCCCAGGCAAAGTCGAACTCGCCAACTCCATGAGCAAGGCCGACGCCAGGGAGTTCTTTGCACTGGAGAGCCTGTTGAAGCTTCTCCTTCTAGGTGTGAATTTGCATCGTGAGAGCCCTGAAAGACTTCCCTGGAAGAAGGAAAAGGGACCACCACCCATTCTAGTGGGTGGCGCCTATGAAAATACAATTCCTTTTCATCCCTGCGCATCGTCCATGGCGCGCGACGCGAAAAAAAGTCGCTGCTTCGCGCTGGCTGAATGTCCAGCCACCATGGAACGCAGCAGGCCTCGCAAGCCTCCAAACAGGAACCTGGAGCAGCAAAAATCAAAGCTGGACAAACGTAAGAGAGCCATTTCTATCCCTCCCTCCCCCTCTCTCTCTCTATCTTGGCCAACCCCCATCCATGTAATATCTCTATATATTGAATTGAAACTCACAGGAGCTCTTTTGTTGTTTTCTTCTGTGCTTTTGTAGAGCCAGTGCCAATGACACACAGTGTTTCTGGAGATTGTCATAAAAAGAACAAAAACAAAGCAACACAACAACTACAGGGCACCAAAGGGTAGTCAAGTTCAAGTTCTCTCAATCCTTTGAGCTTCTTTCTCCACATCCTGCTCTTCCTTTTGTGAATCCACTCCCTGGAGAGCTAACTAATCTTACAACTGTTTCTTGGTGATTTGGCACAACTTCTTATCCTGGACACCCCCACCAAATTTGTGCACAACTTTAGAGAAGGGCCTCTGATTTATGTTCTAAGGCTGCGAGGATCCTTCGGTGAACCCTCAGCAAAACACCAGGAACGGGATTGATGCTCTGCAGATTTCATATCAATCGGAGTTCCCAATATTGCCTTCCTCAAGAACGCCCGATATTAAGAAACATAATGCACTTGAAGTCAAAATTGTTCTTCTGATTGAGAATAACCTGACGGGGGGTGTGCATTCTCATAAAAATGCACTCAACCTGAAATGAGGTCTCGTCCATGTGACAATCGTGTACCCACCCGTGTGGGACCGTACCGAACCGAAGGACGGAAGGACGGGGGTCACTGCTGTTTCTATCCAGGTAGCGGGAACCGGTACGACTGGATCGCGTCGTTGGGCCATTGACGGCCAATGTCAAGGATCTGTTCCCACTCATCATGTCGGCTGAGTGGGTCGTTTTCGTCTCACCCTTCACATGCTGGACCACCGGAGCGCGGTGGACGTACGCATGGGTCGTGAGTCGGTGTGGACCCGGTCAGGGGAAGAAGCAAGCTCATGGTAGGATGATCAAGCTGCCAATCATGACTTACTGCATTTCCCCTGCGTTCATGCAGTCTGCTCCAGCAAAACCGGGTCTTTTGCCTCCGGTGCTTTTACAACACCAACTCTAGTAAAATGAGCTCATTGACCTGTAGGGATGTGGATTCATATTACTTGGGGACCTCACCCCAACCCCAACCTGGTCCCCCAACCCCCGCGCGCTTCTTTTGCTGAGCCGGCGCGGGTGCGGCCGGACGGGTGCAGCCGGACGGGTCAGCTGTCGGGAAAGGATGCCGCTCTGTGACTAAACTTATCTAAAGCTTATTATATAATTAAAGCAAACCTCGAAGGCTTGAAGAATTCTGGATCAAACCACTGAAACACACACATAAACACTCCAACAAGTATAGTCAGCCATAGTCAACCAACAGGGTCATCTTCTTTCAACTTCCATGAAGCTCGGCACACGTCTTCTCCGATCTCTGACCTCTGACCTCCCCATCACTTGGACAAGGCCCGCAAGGCGCTGGCAAAGGCCAGGCGGTGATCCTCATCAGTGACCTGAACGTGTTCGTAGAAGTCGTTCAGCTTTCCACTGTAACGCTCTTTGATCTGGTTCACACCTGGCCACTGGTGCGCACGTGTGGCGAGCGCGACACTCGCGCCGGCGCGACATGTGGCGCCGCTTCGCCAGGGTTCGATCGGGGAAAAACGAGCACCGGCCGCATGGCAGGTGCTGGGACCGCTAGGAGGTGGACTTCTTGTTATAAGTGACAATAGGGTGCCATCCCCAAAACACTGGCAAACCGGACCTCTTTATAGACATGAACATCGGGTGCCATCCCATCCGGCCCCCAAAAACGGACGTCTCTCGGTCTGCAGGCTGGAACGGATGTCTCAGGGCCAGGCCACACTACAAGGAACACTAAAGTCAACCAGGGGTTATATACTTGTTTCTCTGCCTGGAACATCCTGGAACTAACGTGGAAGTGGAAAACCATCTGTTTGTAGTGGAAAATGGTCTTCCAAGGGGCCATTCTCCACTTCCATGTTAGTTCCAGGGAGTGTAGATCTTGTTTGTCAGTGAGAAGTCCAATTCTCGGAGAGGAATTGGTTTGCCTGAGGGGTGAGGTCAGTGCACTTGCAAGAACTCAAGAAACAAAGCTCTATCACACCTCCTTTCCGACATAAACTGATACAAACGCAGCCGAATCCGCGACTGCCGACTTCAATTGACTGTGGTCCAAGATCCCTCCCCCGCGCAGACCACAACACACGAAACACAAACGGCCATCCAAACGGGCACCGTCCGAACCCCCGGACTTCGGATCGCGAAGAAGCGGTTAAATGCTGCCCACGCGACTGGTGAAGAGTTCTGTGAGCTTGGGGATGTATTCCACCAAACTTCCACCATCCAGGTGTTGTGCCCAGCGGACGATGTCTTCACCTGCGCTCGACTCATCCTCCTGAGCACCGCACTGGGCCGACACGACCAAACGAGCAGCACTTCGGTCCAGCAGGAAGCCGATCTGAGTGTCTTGCTCTTACTTTTCAGGGCCTCCAAGTACTACATCGTTGGGTCAAACAGTCGCAAAACCGCCACTTCAAGTACTGCAAAAGAACGGATTTACTTGCAACATGTTGGAACCACCAAAAAGATCCAACAATTGCATTTAAACTGAACACCCCTGAACATGCTTTTACAAATCTTCAATTGGTGCAGGATGACTGTGCCAAGCTGCCTGCGGGTAGCACTGATTTATCTCCAAACACTGCACAACAAACAGCGTTGAATACAAAACGCTCTTTCACCTCACACAGTCCAAATGAATCTTGGACTCATCTCCTGCATTCTGTTGTTGATATTTTTTGTATAAGTTAAAGGCATCAGAATCACTGACATGGAAGACGGATTGCATGCTTGCTCCAACTCCCGACGCCAAATCCTTGCCCAGTTTCGATCTGAACCACACCTCGCACCACGCGCCTCTTCTTCTCGACGCCTACGGGTTCGGCCAAATGCGACCGCGATGAACTGCGCGGCCGCTGCCGCAGCCGAGCGTTCAGGATGCGCACGTCCTCTTCCGCGTGCACGGGCGTGCGCGACGTGGACGACGCAGTGGCGGACGGCCGCCGAGCAGTGGCCGTTTTGGCCGGGGGAGAGATGTGCGTAGAGGAGCAAACCTCATAGACCAAGGCATCTTTGTATGCCTTAGCTGCTAAAAGCTCTCAGAATGCCGGTGAATTGATTTGGTTGGCCTGGAAGTACATGCCAAGTCTATGGCGCTGAGAACCAGCACAATCCACTATCTGCCAAGGTGAAACAAACAACCCAAAGGTCCACAGCGGGTTCAGTCAAACTCTATGACTCTCTACGATCTTCCATGCCACTGTCCCGGTTTTCCCAAATTAGAATCCTACCAAAGAATATCAAAGAACCCTCTTCTTAGTCCAGGTGCAAGAAAAATCTCTCCATCCATTGTGCTTTTCACTCTTAGCCCCCAACACCACACTACCGTGCTCCCGCGTGCCCGTCTCCAGCGATGCCGAGTGGCCGGATGCGCCGTTGGGAGGAAGGCGACATGGTCGAAGGGGAGGAGTTCGATCTTGATACCGTGGGCCACACGGCGGTCGTTCACCCAGGTGCCATTGATGGAGGTATCCTGGAAGTACCCAGCTGCAGGCGTGGAAGGGACTGGTCAACGTGACGTTGGGGGTCAACACCCTTTTGGAAGTTTAGTTGGCGGGAAGTGGACCAACTGTCCATTGCTTGCACAACATTGCATGCAACCTACAGCACATCGCATGTGATGTGCAGTTGAATTGAGGTCCCCCCGAGATCGGATGCACCGGGTTTACCATCCGTCTCTCCTGTCACCTCCCGGTGAAGCGAGCGCGAGCGGCTCGCGAGCTCGAGGGGAGCCGGGCGGGTGCGGAGGTCCATCGACACCCATTCCCTGTAGCGGATGATGGTTAGCTGTACCCTAGGGCTCCAGTGCCTCCCCAGGTTCGGCATGACTGGACCCGAACATGGCACCCATCTCATTCCCACCTTCTGAGCAAATATATAACATGGCAACCAGGTTACATGACCGGCCTATATACTATCCCCATGTGCGTCCATGTGCAGCCATGTACAGCCTGTCATCGACGTCAGCCCAGATTCCCTCGGACCGATTTCTTCCATCGGGGCGGTGGCAACTCACCAGCATGATCCGGCATCCATGCCAAACCCTTCACAGGTTAGTCAAGACGTATATATGTCAAAGTGAATGAGACCAACCTTCACACACACACAAGTGGGTGACCCGCCTGCTGCCTGCTTCTGAAAAATGAGGTATATGCCAGTTTCTCCAAGACTACCAAGTTGTATGTCCCATATGCCCGCTACCCTCAAGTGGAGATCTCAAGTGGCATTCCTGGCACCTTCCGTGCGTGAAGCAAGAAGCTAGTAGGTTGGAGGCCATCGCTAGAAGGTTGGAGGCCATGGCTACTAGTAACAAGAAGCTACTAGTTCGGAAATGAGTGTTTTCATTCTTTCGAGAACAATGCCATCCCCTGGCTCCGTCTCAGAGCATCCGCGCTCCAGCTCGGAGGCGGCCCGTCCTGGAGCGAGAGATGGCCTCCGGGGTCCAGTTCCAAAATGGCATGGGCCTTGGAGATGTGCGCCTTCGGCAAGACGACCTGGAGATGGGCGACGGTTTTTGGGAGATGGGCGACGTTCAAACATCCCATGGGGTCGGACAAATACATCGGATCGGAGGAGGTTCGGACCATTGAGAAGGATTGAGGGATGTCGCAAACGACCATGTTTCTTGAAAAGCTATTAAACTCCACTGGGTGCAAAGGACATCTCTTTGGTCCAAGGCACATCTGCCATCTCTTCATCCTCGGATTTGCCAGTGAGGAGGATTGGAAAAACAACAGTTCCTCATGGCTTCCTTATGGGAGATTTGCAAACGCACCTGTTGAATCCTCTTGAAGCAACTTTGCACAGTTTCCCTGTGGTTGTCGTCGAGGCATTCCATCATCTTGTTTTACTATGTTGCCCCCCGGAAGATTAAC